CGAGCCGGCGTACTCTCACTCCTGGGCTGCGATTCAGAACCACTGGTGCAGAGCAATGGTTTGGGCTTTGGATGGACGGTCGTGGGTTCAGGTCCCTGCTGGAGACGCTGCTGTTGTGCTCCTGACTTTGCTCCCTTTTGCTCCCATCCACCCAGCTGGAAACCAGTTCCAGTTTTGTTTGTCCCAACATATGGACTAGCATCCCATCCCAGGACCTCTCGTGTACTCGTGCTCCGCTCAGTGGGCCAGGAACTGGATTACACACCGACCTCAGCAGCCTCCACGCTCCAGTAGGCATCGTTTATTTTCCTTCTGGGAAACGACTGAGGTTATTTTTGAAGATTACCAGGCAGCACTCTGGAAAAAACACGGTCTATCTGAGTATCTGACTCATGCAGAGGGTTCCAAAGGATTACCAGTGTGAAACAACCTGCTGAGATATTTAGCATTTACAGAATTTTAAAGCAATGGGGTACTGAGCTGAACTTATCAGGAGCAGCTGTTTCCACAGCCCTCTACTGAGAGTCCAGCACATTGACAACTTCAACATGATCTCCTCCATGCTGCCTGTTTTCCCTGCTTTAACAAAGACATGGCATATCTGGGGCACCAGGCTCCATTCCCCATCTCCAAGCCCACTGGTCCTGTGGCCTGTGGACTTCAGTGTGCCAGGAAGAGACCTGAGAGGTGCTATATTACACGGCCTTGAGAAATCGAAGAAACCACTGAAAAATCCCATCTGACTGAAGAAATACCACCCAAACAGAGCCCCCGTCTGTTCTTTAACCAAACAGATAAATTACTCCCTGCAGAGTCCTGATACTCTCCCTGAAAGCCGGGTCCAAAAACCGCTGGATTCAGAGCAAACACACTCCATCTATTCACACCCTCCTTCCGGCACACTGGTGCTTCCTTCTCCCTGCTGACCTCCCCCTCACACGGCCCTTGCCTGCACGTGTGCGTTAAGGCCGGTCTACGTTGCATTCTGTTATTTATGGGCAATAGGTACAGACTTGCCCTGGAACCAGTCGGCTCCAAAAAAAAAAAAAAAAAACAAGATTGTTTTTAAATCCGCCAACGTGGCTACAGCAGACCGAGGCTTCCCTGACTCGATCTAAAAAAAACCCGGTGTCTCTGTGCAAGGTAGTAGGTTCACAAGCCTAACGGGCACATCAAAGGCTGTGGAGGAATGCTGCTCTCAGTCAGCCCAGCTGGAGTGCTGTGCAACAGCTGGCCCATCTGATTAATCTCCATGGAGATCTCGACGTGCTCATCTTCAGAGCTCCTCACTCCTGCTCGCCAGGGGCTCCCTGCCTCCCCGCCGAGGGTCAGCCTGCATCAGGGGCAGCAGGGTCCGTGTTGACTCCCTGCCCCCAGCCTGGAATCTTGACCCCTGACCCCTGACTCCCGAGTTACAGGAAGCCCGACAGGACCCCGAGCCCAGACAAGCTTCCCGCTCCCCTGAGGTGGGACCAGTGTTGAACGAAGGGGAAAACGTCGTGGAAGAACAATGCCAACGTCCCCACAGGGGAAACCTGCATCGCTAGGCTTCTCCTCCCACACAGAGATTAAATGTGCCTCGAGCCCAAGGTGGGAGCCTCTTCCTGACAGATTTCTGTTAAAAGCTATGGTGATGGGCCTTTTATTTTAAGAAAAATCCATGCTACCTAAAAAAATATTTTTACATCTTGATCAGGAAGGTTCACTATTACAGCTGTGTTGACATTTAACCCCATCAAGCTCTCTGTAACCAACTCTGAGAAATCTTCACCAGCCATTAATTTTCATCTTTTGGCGATGCTCATCAAGGCTCATCAAGCACAAGGACAGGGCAGAGGCTGAGCAAATGGCTTCCAGTTTTGAAATTCTCACCCCCCCCACCCAACTAACCTGTTACAAATTGCAACTTGTCATACCCACTGGTAATGAAAAGAAACCTCAGTATCTGTATTCTGAAAGTAAATATCAGTATGGCAGCCCACTGCCTGCTTGCGGAAAGCAACGTTTTTAAAGGGAAATCAAACTCCAGCTTCCCCTTCAGCCAGCTCCCCAGTAGAAGGCAAGAGCTCTGTGCTCTGTGCTCTGTGCTCTGTGCTCTGTGCTCTGTGCTCTGTGCTCTGTGCTCTGTGCTCTGTGCTCTGTGCTCTGTGCTCTGTGC